TGTTGGGTCCCCAGGAAAGGAAAACTGAGCTCAGAATAAATCACATTTTTTCAGACTTGTTTTGCCTACCGTCGTTTCCCTGTTGGCATCAGCTCGCTCACTCGTCAGATTAATAAAAATAAACACGATGCCCAGCAATCGCACATACAGTAGTGAACTTGTGCATGGTTTTCCCCATCTTTCAGGGGGGACAAGCTACGCAAAGCAGTGGAGGAAGACATTAAGGCCCAGCTTCACTTCATTATTCCTACTGTAATTTACAATCGTCAGTTTGGACAAGTATAACGTGTCCTCAAAAATTACTTTTGCCAGGATGCGGTACTCCAAATCACAAATCGGCGTCAATCGTTGCAATCTGCCTTGGACAAGGACGAGGCATTCCAAATGATCACTGCTGGTCACTTGCTGCGGTTTGTCAAAGCAGTTTAGAGTCCACCCAAGACCTGAAAGATGCTACCTACCACATCACCTTTCCTGGTCTAATTGATGCATCGATGCATGCGTTTCTTTTGGAGGCTGAGGGCATGGAGGATTTGATCGCACACCTCAATGATAGCCTGAAGATTTTTGATGATGCTGCATTGCCGGCCAAGAAAGCCAAAAAAGCAAAGTAGCACAGTTAACGACTTTTCTGGTGCTGGAAGCCCCAGTAGTTTTGCAAATCTGATGAGAAGGGTTGACAGCGCGCACTGCTGCCTTAGTGGCCGCACCGTTTTGGTACCGCATAATAACCTTGTCTGGTTTGTTCCCTTTGGCAACCAAATTAAGATACGAATGCTTCGAAAATGTCCCTTTGTTTTCCGATGTCGGCTGGTATGCATGGCGCTGCCCCCTTGCAATCGAGACACGTCGAAAGTCACCGCGAGAGAAACCACGCATCGAACTTTGCCCGGAGTGCATGGGAGTGAACAGGTGTAAGGCAAGTTCGCTTTGAGGTACGAAATGAACGTCGAATAGCCGATGGTATACTAGGAGATGAATTTTCCGAAGTGATTCCATGTTTTCCTGTATTGATCACCCCTGGCCCACATTGCTATGTAACATGTACGTTACTGTTGCAACTGTATTCTTTTTGAATTTGCCGTTCATTCTTCCCCCTCGCAGAATCTGATTCGGACAATGACAACAACGCAGCTTTGGATGACATGATGAACCGTGTGGCTGAACAGGCCCGTGGTCTGAATTGAGCCGAACACTCAACACTTCACCACTCATGGCAGTCCACGTTTGATAGTCATGATTGACATGTTCACTAGTTGGGTGCGTGATGGGGTGTGTGTGTGTGCACATGTGTGCCTTGGAGGCGCATAGCATCCAGTCCGTTGTGCAATCGGGTTCAGCCGCTGTCAAGGACTTTTTCTTTCACTTTGGGGCGGGCGGGTTGTTTATATATGGTTGCTTGCCTGGTTTTGTCACAAGTACATAGAATTTAGAAAAACAATCTGGATCAACCCCGAAGTCATTCAAGGGTGCTTGCCTTTACGCTGCAGGACACAAAAGCACCCGTGAGCAAAGAGCTTGCCCGTCTATCCAAGAGTGCGAAATCAAACCGATCCCGTGACTTTTGGAGGGCCATCAAACTGCCACTGGAATCTGGGATGATGTTTCATCAGTGTTAGAAAAGATGGTTGATATTGTAATCTAGATTGCTTTTTCTGATCCCTATTTTCACCGAAGCCAACAAGGAACCCAAATTTATTGAGCTACCAGTTATTGACCAAAAAGACCGGGATGCTGTTTCACTCAAGAAATTTCCTTATCTTCTACCTCATGAAGTTTTGGCATTTATGCATGCAAGCGGAGCAAGAACCCCCAAAGAGCACTTGGAGACATACTGGAATTGGGGAAAGCGCTTTGGTTGTGGCTGGGCGCGATTTGGTGATGCTTCAACTGTGCCAGTTGGCATTTACGGTGATGAAGCGAAGTACAATGATGGACCACCGCAAGAAAAAATTTTGGGCATATACATCAATTTTGTTCTGTTCCGACCAGCTTCGATCCGCCACTCGCGCTTTTTGATTTTTGCGATGAGATCCTCTTACAATTTGGGTCCAGCGACCTTGTACCCATTGATGTGGAAACTGGTGGAATCACTGCATGTTGCATTTCTTGGAAAGTATCCGAATGGCCAACCTTTGTGCGATGATGGTAGCCGCTTTCTGGTTACTGAACTTCGTGGCGATTTGGTATGGCACAAGTTTTGCTGGCAGTTTGAAACCCGAGGGTGGCAATCCCTAGACTGCTGTTTTTTTTTGCAATGCTCAAAGCAAGGGGAATTCCAACCTTTACACGGAGTTGGGAACAGGAGCCGCGTGGACAAGCACTGAATTCAAGGATGTTTGGGAGTGGGCAAACGCAGTCCTTCCCGACAGGCTGTGATACTTGCAAGAGAATGCTACAACATTTTCAGTTGATAACTAACCCCACAGAACTTTTTTTCAGGTAAAAATTTGGGATAAATACGGTCTAGTTTTTTGACGACACTGGTTTACTGTGGAAGGACTGAAGTGGTTTGCGCCTTCTTCCTCGTGAAGTCCATGGCTGGCACTTCCTGGTTTCTCAATCGATTGCATTCGGATGTGCACAATGCACAACATGAACTTGGGTGTCCTTCAAACCATTACCGGATCCTCATTGCCTCCCAGATTGCAACTGGCATTTATGGTTTCTTGTGTTTGATGTTTCCTTGTTGGCTAAGAGTTTTCTGGTCTATAAAATTTGTGTCTTGCTTGTTTTCCCGGGGCCAGGTTGACTTTGATTTTGGAAGGCTTCTATGGCAGCCCTGGTGATCCGTTGCAATTGAACCTCAACCGTGTGTTTGCAGATTTCAAGGCATGGTGCAAGAACAACAAGAAATACTCCAGCCAACGGTGTTTCACAGTTGGGATGGCATCTCGTTTTTTGTGGTTTATTTGCTTTTTGTTCTCAATGTATGATGTTGCTATTGCTTTGTTTGAAGAGTAGGATTCCTTAGGTTTTGTTTGTTGTTCTGTCCAGCCCACAATTTCCCCCAGAAGCATCCAAAGCATTCTTTGGTTCAAACATCTGGACTTGGTTTTCGAACCTAGCTGAATGTTTTTCTTTTAAGGCAGGAGCACCGGCCTAGGTAATCAAACAAAACAACACCGTGAAGTTGACCCACAAAGCTTACAATGGACGAATCATTTCTGCTTATGCATCGGAAGTGTCAATGCTTGCGGCTGAGAAGAAGCTGGATCCACCGGGTCCGAACCGTATCTTCGGCCAATGGCTGAAGGAACAAATCGGGCAAGGCGCCAGACAAGCGCCATCTGACCCAAAGCTACCACTGCAGTCAGCTTGTTTGTTACCTAGCTGCAATACTTGTCAAAAAGGTTTTACAACCCCACGGGCCTTGTCCTTCATTTCATTTCGCTGGTTGCTTTCCAGCTCCAACTCTTACTAGCTCAGGTTTGCGACTGAGAGGTGGTTTGGGCTGGTGGAGCGTGCAGGTCGATATTTGCTGCTGGCATCTGCTGGCAACAGTTTGGCGCTACGTGTTTTATCGTTTGAACCCCTCAACCCTTGGGATTGCTGATTGCCAAGTTTGGGGAAGGGCTTTGGGTAATTCACAAAAGGGGAATCTAAGGACGCAACAGCAGGCGACAGAAATCTTTGATGCTGGCCAAACAATTCTGCAGTCACATCTCTTCCTGACTACCATCCATATGAGGCCAGGGTTGGAAAATTGCTTAAAATGTTTATTTTTCTCCAAACATGGTCTAATTTTTCTTGGTTTGATTTTTTGGTACATAAAATTGGAACCTGAAATGAGACGTACCAGGCAACAGCGTGAAGTGAATTTGCGCGGTGATTCGACGCCCATCCAGTGGATTGTAACACCGAAGCTTCATTCCTTCGACCATCAACTGCAAACTTTGTTGAGAACCCGAATGAATAGCCGTCATAGCCATTGTTTTGTCGACGAGGACAGTATGAAGAAGTTGAAAAGTCTTGCAATTCGCCATCCATCCGTCAATCTAGAGTCGTTTTTGCTACGAGCCTCACGGCTTCAGTTGAAATTAAGTGCCAAGAAAATGGCAAGTTTGAGGCGCAGCAGCGCCAAGAGAAGCGGTCGGTGAGAAAGCTGAGGGGAGCGCTTGTGTGTGTGTGTGCACGCGGAGTATGGCATATGCATTATAGAGTTCCCAGTTCTCATTTTCACAATATAAACCATATCCAATGATCATGTAACATGTTAGCCCTTGAAGGGCCTTTACAGAACGGACCTTAAATGAAAGGCCTTTGGTGCACGGACCTTATTTGGAGAGCCTCTGGAGGTCTAGGGTATAGCTTCATCACTGGAGCGAACTGGCTTCTCTCTGCCAACGCTCGGCCGCTTCTCGGTGACTTGTCTCGCCCGGTGCGGGGTCGAGAATGGCCACGCTGGGCTGAAGCCCTAGGGATCCGTTTTTGTACCGAACCTCAGGTAGGGTGAGGACGGAGACGATTTCTGTAGGCGCCAGGAGGGCCCAACGGTCGTACCTCCTGAGGTTCGGTAGGGAATATGTGGATCCCTAGGGAAGATGTAAGCGACATTGGTGTGGGGGCCCTCGGGGTCTGTAGGTCCGGGGTACTGGGAGGGGAGTCCTGGGGTCCATGAAGGGCCAAGCAGGACCCAATGACTCCAAAGATGGACATGGCCATTTCAGCTATCGAGGGCATCTCAAGGTAGTGGCATCGCATGTGGAACTCCGTCACGACCGGGCGCGGGTGACGCGCGGGTTCGGGCGGATCGTCGCAAGGTTCGGCGCAGGTTCTATCGGGCGTTCCACCCTTCACAGAAATTTGTTCTGCGAGGAGTCATAATTACATTGAAGATCCGTTTGGGATTGGTTTGGGCTTCAGGGGTTTGGGAACATGTGTGCATCCTGAGGAGAGGGAAAAAGAGAATGCTTCACTTTGCCAGGTTCTTTGTCCCGTTCACGTCGCCTCCTCGTGCTTCTCCCGTTCTCGGCCGCCCTCACAGCCAGCTGCTCCAGGCAGCCCTCCTACAGCTGCGGCGCTCACCCCATGCGGCGGAGGTGACTGTGACAAGACGGGAATGTTCGGAAGAGGTGTCCAATGCAGGTCGCCTCGTGCCCAGCAAGGCGCCGCTGCCTTGCAAGAAAACCCTTCAGGTACCTGAACAAAAGGCACAGGCATATGGTTGTGATTGATAATATGTAATCATCTCTTTAGACGAGGAGGAAGGTAAGTGAGGGCAGTACGCATCAGGAGCTGTTCTCCCAAAAATGGCCCGATGATCCTACATACCAACTTGATTACAGAGTGCTGGATTTTGTGAAGGATCCCCTGCGAGAATACTCATACAAAGTCCCTTCCTCTTGTCGATCTCACATCGGTTCCTCCTTGGGGAGGGCTTTGGGCCCATACTCACGTCCAGAGTCCCGGCGCGGAAACCGTTCTGTTTTGGCACAGTGCATCACTGCCAGAAAGGCGGTTTCCCTGTGTGGACATATGTAGTGGACCTCATGTGAGAAGGAGCACGGTTGGAGGCGACACATGCTCACTTGTCCAATTCCGGTCCGTGACTTACCCGAGGTTCAATTCCATTCAAGTTTTTACAGGAACATTGCATTGCTCTACTGGGTGCGGTTGTACTGAGAAGATGGCGTCACGAGAAATACAACGCCAATTGCCCAGCACACGCGTTTTTGTTCAGAAAAGCCTCTCGCGCAGGTCTGCGGCAGCGTCTTGCTGCGAGAGGATCCAACAGCGGCCTTTCATGCAGCAGTGACGTTGAAGTACTCCACGTCAGCTGACCACTGTTATGACATGTCGGAGGATGTCGTGGGCTAAACCTTCCCTCCCTAGGGCTCCTGGCCCATATCCTCAGAAGGTGGTTAAACCCCCCTGGCACCCACCCTAACCACCTTCGAAATGGAGGTGGGCCAGGAGCCCTAGGGCCGCTTCAAAAATGACTGGAGCGACCGGAGAGGTGAACTCGGATGTTGGGCAGCCTACAGGCAGACGCGAACCCCGAGAACCCTGAAGTAGTAGACCCAGTAAACCCTTCTAAAACCTTTACAAGCCTGGCGCACCTGTATCGATCTTCCATACAATCTACTTGATGTAACGGGCCCAACGAACCTTTGAGCGCCTCGTGACTGAAGAAGAACTTCCCGAGGCTTTTCCATTGGCCGCGGCTGCCGGAGGCTTCACGGGAAGCTGCCATGGATCAGATGCTCACTGCCGCGCGGACGAGGCGAGAGTCGCTATATGCTGCACCTTCACGATCATGCCGTTCTCATCAGCAGCGGATAGATGTGCTTGCTGCTTTCACTTGAATTGGACTGACTCATGCCTAACCATCCCAATCAATGCTCCCGTCGCGCAAGTCCTGAGTGGCGGACCGTGCCTTTAGCACCGGCCAGGGCCGGCGCGATGCCCAGTGAGTGGCGGCCAGTGCAGCAGCAAGCCATGCTTGCGGTGGCGCTTTACTGGAAGTGCCTGGGCGGGACTGAGTGGTGTCGGACTGGGGTGTGAAGTCAGGCTGATGCGTGGTGGCTTGGAAGATGCGTGGTTCTATGATTTCCACCCTTACAATGCAGGCCCTTACAAATGGTTATTTAATTTCTTTCTTTTGTAGTGTCGCTTTTCTTTACATTGGTCCCAGTCTACCACCAACCACAAAAGATATGGTGAACATCCATTGCTTGGCTTCCAGAGGGGGCAGTGTTCAGTAGATCGTGCAGGCGGCTGACTGGGCGCTTGATGGTAGACAATCCATTGGACCCCCTCCAAGGTGCAGAAGGCACAAAGCAAGGTATTGACGGTATCGCCTACCTGGTTTTTGCTTAGGATGCTTGTGTTTGTTCCCTATGAGCCTATAGGTGCATCCCTTTCCGGTGAATATGTGGTATTGTTTTTCGGGTTCCTGAAGCAAATCCAAGACTAGCATCGACCAAGAAAACACGCATCCTCTTTTCCAGGGTCGGCTAGCTCTCTCCCGCTCTCTCTCTCTCTCTCTTTCAGGAAGGCCTTCTTAGAGGGCCACATTTGGCGAATGTCCATTTCACAGTGGCCTTTGCCTTTGGCTGCGGTCATTTGCCAGGAGCTACAGGCCAGCCCAAGTAGCAAGAACATGGGTTCCAAGTGTTTGGGGACCATTTTCAGGAACTTCTGGTTGATAAAAGCCTTGTCCACGGTTGCAAGGTGAGGGCAATCCTTTACCTGCATTGCCCTTGCTGACAGAGTTTGACATGGTGTGTGACACCTGGGACATTGACCAGATCGCTGAGTGGAATGGGTCCGTGTGGCTCCGCAATCTGATCTCAAACGAGCTCCTTACTACTTGTGGCCCGAAGTGGGGACAGAAACGGATGCAATACATGTTCAGAGGTGATGTCCTTTTCAGTTCGTACTTTCAATGCTCTTTCGGCAGAACCACTTTTCCATGTGGAACCACTCCAAGCGTCGCAGCACCGGGGTATCGCAGCGGCGCGCCGATGCGGTGCTATTCATGTTATTGGTTATTGCAGGCAAGAGGTGTGCTCCCATATCAACATCGGATTACGGTAGGTGGTTTGAAGCCAGATCCCATTTGGATATAGTTTCATGTTCAATGGCAACACCTGCTGTTGTTGCCGATCATAGGAAAGTGGCCCATTTGCCGGCGTGTGTTCTTCGGTTCTTTTTACTTTTTCGTTTTGTGCGTTTTGTTTGAATGCTTGCCATGGACAAGACACATCAAACATATATTGCTATATAAAAAGTTACTAGTTACTACTACTGCTACTACTACTACTACTACCACCACCAATACCACTACCACGACCACTACCACTACCACTACCGCTACTAAAAAACAAGTAGTTATTTCATTATACACATTGGTCTTTAAATATGCACAAGATGATCAACAAAAAGCGCGGCATCCAGATGGAAACCCACAGCGTGCACGCCTACAATTTTTGGTTTTCCCACACCAAGATGTCGCAGTCACAGTCCTAGTTGATGTGGCTGGTGCAGATTCCAAGGCTTTTGGCTGACCAGGAGAGCTAACAAGAAACACGGCATGACTTGTTTTCTCTTCAGCCGGGAATCTCTTTTTGTCCTTAGGTGCAACCTACGATATTCTAGTCCACTCGAACTTGTGGTGCTTGTAGCAGAAGTCAGTTTTGCTGTGCTGGGCTACCCTTTTTCCTCATCCACTTCCCGCGCAGGATGAGCGCAACTTGGGTCAGGGCCTCAGGACCCCAAAGCGCAGGATGAGTGCAATAAGCTGAATGGACCTAGCTTCCTTGGAAGAGAATCAGCCGAACCCAAGATTTGTGGAGGTTGTTGATCCATTGGATTGGAGGTTGGTAGATCACCAATGGTTCCAAGGGTCTTCCTTTCTTTAGGCGGTCTTATCCAGGCAACGCTGAGATTGAGGGACGGCAAGGACTGAGCCAAAAACATGCTCGAAAACGAGCAGCAACATATATACTGCTCATCATGTGTTGTCCGAATTGTGACAGTTTGGGAGCAGAAATGTCCTTCTCTCTCCCCAAACCTCGACCGCCTCCGCGATCGCCCGATCGACTCCCGCGACGAAGATCAACTCCGGCCATCCGCGTTTCGACCGGGGAGTGGATCTTGCGCGCCCAAAGGCCCAAGAGGATGAGAGGATGAGAGAACCAAACAACCACAAAGGATGTTCGCCCGGAATACTTTTAAAACAACAACCACTTAAAGGTACTACTAAGAAAACCACAAAAGACCTTTCGTCCAGACTCTAGAATCGATTTTTGTGAATACAGTGGTGGAGTTTCTTTAGCTTATGTCCCTTGCCCTTAGCGTGCCACTTTTGGTCTATGAAGGGTTACCAGTTGACCTGCTGAAGCTTTGACCCTTGAAGAAACGCGAGAAACTCCTATGTCACAAACCTTCAGGGAGGGACGCCAGCGCGAAGCTAAAAAGAACGGATCTTTGCAAAAGTTTCGGCTCGCCTTCCATAGGCTAGTATTTGCTTCAAAAAGTTCACTTCACGCTGCAAGGTATGCTGATCAATTTGTGCTTTCATTGATGAAATGCGTCCAATGACTCAATTATCCAGACCGGCACCACACGTTAACAGGACCTGAAGGTGAGGCGTTGCACCACTACCCACCCCCAACTGCATGTGCACCGAGGTCTTTTGGGCTGTGAGTCCCAGCACTGCGCGCGTGGCGCACTGCAGCGTGCGGCCTGCGAGTTGCCACGCTTGCTGACGCGTGCGGTGCAGGAGGTGAGGTTTTGGGGCACAAAGAAACCCAGTCACAACCAGAAGCTACGGGTCCCAAACCGGCCACTTGTTATATCTTGTTATGTATACAATGGATTTCAATTGCCATATTGGAACGAGCATGCAGCATGTGTTTCTGGTTGTTTGGATTTCCCGGGGGGGAGGTGTTGGCAATGAACATGTTTTGGGATGCCTTTTTGAGAAGGGCTCCTTGGGCTCAAGGTGCAGACACCTTGTAGTACGGAAGGGTCCTTTTGTTGTAAAACAGTCCGTCGCAAACAAACATATTTCAATCCATGTTATATAACTTGGGTGAGAAAACATGGGTGAGAAGATGGAGAAACAAACTGAGCTTGAATATGCAAAGGTGTTCATTGCTACCTGAACTGTTTTGTCCAGTTGTTTGCACAAACTGATGGACAAACCACTCTGAAATTCAATAGAAATGTGTCAGAGCAGGAATCTGCTTTTAAGGTATATACTCTGAATGCGTACTCCGTTCAAAGGAAAAGACCTTCAAGAAGGCCCTTGATAGCTGGGAAGTCCCTGTTGGCCTTCCACTCTTCGTGCCCTTTTCCACTCTTCGGGGCTCACGCCCAGGGCGACCATGCAGCCTTAGCAGCCTGTGCTGCCTGGAGCTTCCAGGGGCCAGCCCCGCAGGGATGGGAAGACTCCTGTGCCCAGGTGCGGCGTTCGGCGACGAAGACGCTCCGACCTGGAAGTGGTCAATGGTTGTCTGGCGTTCCCGAAGGAGGGGCAGGTGACGGCAGGTGGTGGTTGGTTTCGATTCCATAAGTCTTGTCCTGTTCTTACTGCAATTCTCGGTTTGATTGCGGGGATTCACAGCCCCCTTACATGAGCACAGAATGATTGGAGAGTGGTTTGTAGGAGAAAGATTGAAGTTGCCACGCTACCTTGCCTAGAAAAGACGAGCAGTGCTTGTATAGTCACTGAAATCCAAGACCCGGACGGGGACGCAACCCATACCCAAGTCTTGCCTGCCACCGTGTCATTGAGTTCAGTTAGGTGATAAATAGCACCAATGTGGATATCTGCTTTTTGTGCGATTTGGGCCACTCAAATCTGGATAGACCTACTCTCCTGGGGCAAACCAATGTCTCCCTTTAAAACTACCAGAAACCTTTCGACGCGAAAAAAACCGACACGGAAGTGACAACGGATGAGGTGGCTATGCAGTTGGCGCAACGGGAGCAGTGGGATTTGGCCTTGGACTTCGCCCAATGTGCGAAGCACCAGGCGGACGCATGCGGACGCTGGAAGCGAGCGGAAAAGGGTGGAAGACTGGAAGATGAAGATCCGCAAAGAGGAATAGTGTTTGTGAAGAATTTGTGCAACTAGTGAGCCTCACCTCACCCTCATTGAAGGGCGATATCATGGAGACTGTCCCTTCTCGCCACCTGACGTGGAACTCAACAGATGCAAGCAAGATAACAGAAGTGGACGAGATTTGGGACTTGAGTAGTAGTCTTTGGGCCAGCCGGCATTGGATTTGTCGGCCTATCAATGTCCATTAAGCCCGAAAGACTCGGACCGGGCCAGGCGATGTGGGCCCTGGTCTTGAGCGCAGCTGGCAGGCGGGGGAGGGCATTCCACTCAAATTCACCGGCTACATTGTACATCCATGAGGGGTGCAAATTTAAAAGCCTACCATTGAAGGCGGAAGTTCCCACCACAGAAAAACAAAAACAACACAAATAAACATCGAAAACCCTGGAACCTGCGCCAAGGACGGTTTCTGGATCAGTGGCGCAGGTCCGGTAGACTTCGTCAGTACTGGGGGATGTCATGGGGCTCGGATGGCCAACAAGTTCCCCTCATCTCCCAGGTTTGAAAGGTGCGATGGTGTTGTTCGAAAAGAGCCCATGATCCGATGTCTTCCGTGAAGACTTGTTCTTGGTCTTGTTTTATGTGCTCCTTTGCTTCTTCTTTGTTTGTTTGACAAATAGTATATAAACAATATATATATATATATGCGAATCTTTGGAGTGAAGCCCCTGGAAGCCGCCTTTCAAACCTTGAGACATCCCTATATTTTCTCGAGCCTCCGCGCTGAGGCCTCGCCTCCGCTTCGCAGCCGCCTCCTGTGCTGCGACCTTGGCCACAGCGCCCTCAGAGGAAGAGGCCCTTCAGCTGGCGCGGGTGGCCGTGCAGATCATGCAGGAGTCCGTATGTTTGGGAGTCATCGGGAGTCTTGCTGGCGGAGTTCTATGATTTATGTACCTACGTGTGGCGCATGGGAAGATCCGCGGATGGTGATGTGCAGACCATAGGGCGGCAGTTGACCGAAGATTGGAATTGGATCTTAAAGTTTCTTGATGACTGATTGCTTTCAGTTATTAACGCAAAGGAGGTGGTGGTCGGTCAATGTGTCAGAGTCATCGTGGGCTGAAGCCACTAATCGTCCAAGCCTTTCAGGACTCCAATATGGCTGTCCCCAATGAATTGGACAATGTTTTTGACAAATTTTGACAAATTGTGTTATTTTTTTGAGGATGGCCACCCCAAAGCTGCCTTCCCTTATGAAGCCGATGCTGCCAAGACTGCCAAAAAACTCAGGTTTCCAAAGTTCGATAGAATCCCATCAGTTCCTCAAATTCTGTCGATTCCGTATTTTTGTTCCAATTCTGTCAGCGTTCCCATGGATCGCAGGAGGATCTGAGCTGTGAGGAAGGGCTCGAACAGCTGGATGCTTTGGTGAAGTTTTTGGAGGTGGAGCTCTGTTTCTGGAGTCCGGGTTCTCCGGGTCCATTCGGAACCATCGACTTGGCTCGTGATGTTTTTGTAGCTTGGAGTGTGCTCAGTGATCCATCGAGCAAATGATGCAAAGATGTGAGCAACATTCGGTGTGATCCCAGTCAGCGGATCTGTAATCTGTTTGGGGATTTGTTTCCCAACTGGAAAAGGTTAACCTTTTATTCCAGGCAAGCTCAAGCAAACTGAGGGAGAGTGCAACAGTTTGGGTTTTAGCATTGGTGAGTCTTTCTGGTTGCTCCCGAACTCAGACATCTCCACCCCTTAGCGAGACCTAACTAGGACAAGGATATTTGTTCACTGCTCCCAAGATGCTAAGTATAAGTATCAATATAATTTGTCTTTTTGTTGGTGAGACTATCTCTCTGTGAAAGGAGCTCTCAAGTATCCGATATCCCTAGTCTCCCTACATACTCCCAAGTATTTTTGATATATTGTTTACATCTTTCACCTTGGGCATGCAGTGGCAGTCCTGCATGCAGGTCCTTAGAACTTCTTCGAGGTCCTTGGAGGCGGGAACACGTTCTGCACGGACGAAAGGACCATGACCACACCAGAATGTTGTGGGATGTGGCTTTCACCTTTGGCGCCCAGAATGGCACAAAATCAACATATGATAACATATATATATATATGTACATTCCAAAAACTATGTATGCACATATCATATAGTGGTTTCAGAGTATTCTAGATGGCACAACCCCCAAGATGTCTTCTAGATGGGAGTCTACCTTTCAGCACCTTTTGGACATTTCTGCCATCTACTCTCAATCCACATGATTTTGTCCACCGTCGGCAGCTGAACCTACTACTGCTGGTTGGGAGGTCACTGAGCTCCTCGTACACGCCTTCCTATGCCACATCCTTTGTCGGGCGAACCTGCCGGACGCCTATGACGAGACGCTGCTGGGCGGGGCGAGCTCAGAGGCATGTTGCAGTGACGTGCTGCGGCTCATGGCGCAGATGCTCAGCTGCAAGCGGAGGTTGCTCGTAGAATCGGCGCCGGCTGTGGAGAGTCAAGATGGGTCTTCAACAGCGGTGTTTAGTGAAATCATGGGTGATTTCTGGGACAACTAGAAACACACAACATCTACTTTGGACCACCGATCCTTCCACCACTTTTCTGGCCATTCGGACCGAAAAGACCCTCTGATCGGCGATCCCACCGATCCCTCAGCTCCGTGTTCTTTCACCGCCCAGGATCGCGGGTGCCCAGATGGTGGAACCCCTGCAGCGTTGCTTGTCCCAGCGTGGAGGCGACACGCTGGACATGCGCCACCTGGCGCTCAGCTTCGCCGTGGAGCTGGTGGCGTGCCACGGGGCGAGCGGACCTGCCTTGGCGCCGGTGGTGTATGCTGGCCTACAGGGGTGCCTTGCATCAACTCCCCCTGGCAGTACGCAGAACACATCAGAGTTATAATCTTCTGTGAGTGATTTGGGGTGCTCAAGAGGTTGATACATGTTGAAAAACTGTTTGTGCGTTAGCTGTTAGCTGTGTTTTTGTTTCCTCCTTCTTCATCAGGAGGTTTTGTTCACCGAAAGTAGCGTTCGGATCTCTCGAAATCCGGGCTTTGGTTCTCTCTGGGTGTCCGAGGTGTCCATCGCCCTTGCTGGTGGCTGACACTTCTGAATGGGCAGCAACATGTTTCTGTTTCATTTTAATTTGGGCGGACTAGGACGACCGCTGCAAGGTAGGTGTGAAGACAGCAAATGGTGTTTTTCTTTGCCATCATCATCGTCGTCATCATCATCATCATCATCATCATCATCATTTGGAAAAGTTGCAACTACAATGAGGGGTCCAGATTCGCGAAATAAGCTGAAGGAAGGCAAGCAGCTACTAATGGCGGGATGATTGAGGCCGTGTTGAACGATGACTGAGAAACAGGTGTGAAAAGGAATCCTACCCTGGGTGACTCCTGGTATGTTTATGTTCATTTGCAGTTTCCAGTCACCAGTTTAGACCTTTCGGGCTCCAACCCAGAACCACTTTTGGGAACTTTGTTGGAGGTGTCACTTTCGGGTTTTGGTTTTGGAGGCTGTAGGACCTGCAGGACACCTGGAATTCATATTATACACATTCATGAGCCCATGAAGCCTCAAAGTGACTCGTCAGCCATCTCGACTCCATTTCTTTCAAGCCTATTCGGCCTCCCGGAGGACAGCTTCCGCTTCTTCCATCGTTTGTTGCCTCACCTGGATGCCTGTGATGTGGCACCACTCTTCCAGATGACCCTGCTGGGGCTCCAAAGGTGGGCGACGGACCCCGAGGCTGCTGGCGCTCCGCGCGGGGGGGTGAAAGGGCCAGGAGGAGACACGATGGGATCCTTTGATTGGATGAAGGCTCGTGAAGTCCTGGTTGGCCGGAGTTTTGGTTTCTGAATGTTTCTGGGTTGGTAATTATATATAGGGAAAGCCAAGACTTCCATATCTTCCATCTACTCTCAGGTTTGACTCCAAGATTGCATGTTTTTTGTGTGTGTGGGGGCGGTGAGGGTGTCACAAGTTGACCACTTGTAGTGAGTGGATATGAGAAGTTCTTTGGAGTCTGGAGTATGCTGTATTTTTCGAGCCTAAGGGTAGGCTACCATGCACTCTACGCCCCCCACCCCCACGGCCGATCCGATCCTGTACAACTCGCGAGGTGGCCCGGGTCGGCCTTGATCTCTTGACCGATTTGAGCAGATTGCCCAGCTCTTTTCCCCTCTTCCACTCCCAGTTCCAAGCAGTTTCCTGGCGATTCCAGCGATTGCATCTCATCCAGTGATTCTGGATCAGGCTTTTGTGACAGCTCTTGCACTCGGTATCTAAGTAAGTCTGGGTAGAAATGCGTTTGACAGCCCGGCGAAACTCCAAAGGCAAGTGTGAAAGAACCGTATTGCGTTGAATACTACCAGCAGTCACAAAAAAGGGTGCTTAATGGAGGTTAGGGGTGCCCATTATCCACTCACTTAGAGACTAAACACCACCCCTTTGTGACTCCTGGTAGGGTTGTGTTCGGGAATGGTGATGATTTGTTCCATGTTTGAAGCGCGCCTTGAGTTCGAGCTTCAGGTCACTTAACCCTGAAGGGGTGCATTTTGAAAACAAAGAACATCACCTCTTAAAACCAAGGCTTTTCGGTTTGGATTTGCTCCCCCCAACTGGGCCCCCAAACCAACTGGACCCAGCATCTTCGGTCGAGACGGTGCGGTGTCGGTGAGTGACGTTGGACCCCTCGAGGCTGAAAGGCACGAAATAAAAGCGTTTTGCTAGAGCCAGGAAACCTCCGGTTCGTTTCGGTTCGTGTCGGTTCCATTGAAACTGGTACCTTTCCGGTTCGGTTCGCGGTTCGCGGTTCGGTTCCTAGGGCTTACTGTAGAGCAAGTGATGCGAACCTGGACGCTAAACACATCCATGGCGGGGGTGAGTAGCCGGTATACGTAGCGTGGCTTGCCGCCCCGGTTCGGTGGATGGGATGATCGGGGTGCTATAGCTGTGTTTGGCCAGGGTCAGGGCAGTGGCATGAGGAAATCCAAAGAGAACCTGTGGTCCTTTACGTCTAAGACGCAATGTTTTGCCATGGCTATTACGCCTAAGTTTCATATAGTTCTCAGCCATTGTAAATATGCAATGCAGCCTAGTCTTGATGAAGTTCAAGTGCACATTGAACGCGAGCCCTTGCACATAATGTGGGTGGTTTGATGTTTTGTCATTTGCTCCAGCTGAGGTGTGGACAGATCCTCACTTGCCCCTCACCGTCATCACGGGTTTTTGTCGCGGCTTACGGCTCTCCTCCACGTACCACCCCTCTGGTGCAGCGGAGCTGGCTGCCTTGGCACAGCCATTGCGAAAAGCGGTGCTGAGACAAGTCGAGGAGTGGGACCCCCAGGCGGTGGGGTCGAAGGGCCCCGACTCATCCAGTTGGGTGGTTCGCTGTGTCGGCGCTGAGGCTGAGAACTGGGAACAGAGGATTCTGCAGAGTTCCTTTGGTTTGGCTTGTGAGCCGAGAAATATAGAAGGGTTGTTGGGGTGAGTTCAACAGTGATGAGCCTCAAGTAGACAAACTGCCAGTGACATGTCGACGATCTTCACTGCAAGAGGGATGGACTTGGGTAGAGGTCTTGGACATATCAAAACGTGAGCAGCTGCCTGTTTTGAAACAAAACACTGAGCACTGCGCGTTGGGATTTCAGATCCAGAATGATCCAGAGAAAGCAGCAGGTTGTTGATGTCCTTGCCGGATTTTCAAGTTCAGAGTAGTTCTCAGATCGAGCTCCGCTCAATTCGAGCTCGACGTCCCGTTCTCTCCGTTAATCCAACCACATCAGCTCGCCTCGACCGGAGGTGCTGAGCGGTCCTCAGCTGCCGTTGACCGCCCGGCGCTTCGCCGCCCTGGCCGCCCTGGCGACGGTCCACCCGGTTGAGGCGGGTGGCGGGTGGCGGTGGCGGTGGCGGGGCGATGGCGCCCAGGGAGAACATGGTTCTTTTTGATTTTAATACAGGGTGGTGTTGCTCGGAAGCAGGCCTTTAAACATGCATTGATGATATATTAAAATGCATGGTTTTCAATAGAGAAGTTCGAGAAGAAATAAGGCAAGCTAGGGCATGTGTCTGTCGTGGTGCTGCACCCGGCGCACCCCACCAGTTTGGCCGAATGATCGCGGGAGGACTGGTCCCCCAAAACACGAATCAACAATGCAAAACACCATGGAGTCGTGGGTCGTGGATGCATGCTCTTTTGCCCACAAGGTCCTTGATGCAGGGCCAACTCCCCCAACACGTGGTGTCGACTAGAAACCAACTACGTTCCAATTCAATCATGTTGAGCCACCTTGGTTTCGGGGGATGTTCTTTTGAATCCCTCTTGGCAGGTATTTCTGGTTGTCCACAATTTGCAATTTGGGAAAATTTAGGCTTGGTGTTGGGAGTAAAGCCATGCGGCCATGACCCAAGGTTTGGAAGCACAACGATTCGGTGTAGATACCCTAAATATGCTCACGATTCGATGATGACTTTGCATGCTTTGGACCTTTTCTGCGGCAAAAACGGGCGTGGCCAGGACCAGCGACTCTTGGAAGCCTTGGAGACGAAGCTTTCAGATGAGTTCCCAGAGCATTTGCTCCCCTGTGCCTCACTTGGCAATGTGGAGACCTTGTTGGTGTCATTTTCCTTTTTGCTATTTCTTCTTTTGAACCCTGTGTCAGGGACATGAGATTGGCCTGAAGTGGGTTTCTCACCACAGATGCATTGACGCATTCTAGTGGCTAGATTGGCCCCCTTTGAAGAGCCAGGATTTATGGCAATCACGGCAATACCGCTGAGTTTGTTTGGGGGGCTGTTTGATTTTATAAACTTCTTTCGCATGGTACAAGGTCGGCCCAGTAAAGGGCCCATGAACCGGAATGCTTGGTGGATAGGTGGATCTGGACCTTGGGGGTTCTCAATCATTCACGAGCCGGTCATCGCCAGTAATCCTCCAATGATTTGCTTTCAGGCAGCCGTTTGCAAGATTGCTAGGTGAGTTTAAGGACTCCCTTCTCAGATGGTTTGCCTCAGTTTGCTCATGTTTGTTCAAACGGTTCAAGGGCATTTAGATGTTTGCAAACTAATTAAACTTACCAGGCTACTCAAGCATGTTTTGCCCCGAGTCTCCTCTGAAGATCTTCTGGGACCAGGGGGCATGCCAGAAATGTCCAAACGACGAACGGAAGCCCTGTAAAGAACAGCGACACGATCCCTCAGATCCCAATGAAACACCATTGATTTAACAGTGTTTGCAGAACAACCCTTGTTTTACTTAAGGATTTCTTACTAACTACAAAACCATGGACCAGGGGGATGATTTTTAAGGGGTCTTGATCCTGGAAGGCTAAGGATATGGGATGATCTCTGAAAGCCGGACCGATCATGAAATCAGATGCTTGATGCTTTGCTGTGTCAACCTTATGGCCTCCACACAGGCACATGGACCCTTCGCAAGAAATCTGGCTTCCTTCACCTTCACAGTTCACATACCAAAGCCTATACCAAGGCCTCTGAGGGGTGTCCAACTATATAGCTCCTTAGAGGTGATTCGGGGTATCCATGAACCACCCCTGGCTCAGGGGGCCTGGTCGTCTCCATGCGATCACCGACGCTCGAGGTGCTGCTCCTCTTCTGGCCTCGCTGGCGCAGCAAGGCCATTCACAACTCCCCACGCGCGTGTGCACTGCGATGGCTCAGCGCCTGGGCAAGACATGCTGTTTGTCGTGGGCGTGGAAGCAAGCAGATCTGGGTCGATCTCGACCGGTGAGGTGCGGTTTTCAGAGGATTTGCTCAAAAGGCCTTGGAACATTATGCCGGCCCTAACAAGCATGGAACAATGGAAGTGGACAATCCCCAGATTGTGTTTCCAGGGGGGTCAATCTTCCTTTTGCATGTCCGATTAGTGGCATGGCCAGATCTGGCAAGGAAGGGGGTCCAAAGACACGAAATGACAGAAGTCAAGTGTTTTAAGTTATGAGTTATGATCTTAATGTAGTGCGAAGCTCACGCATGCCTTATGAGGACAGAAGATAGGACAAGGCCTTTTGGGATGTGGAGTGCATTGTAAAACAAGTGCCGGTCATATACCCTAGTGAAAACTCACATGGAGACCTGTCGAAGGCTTTTTCCTTTACAACCCGGTCTTTTTCAGGGTCCATGCGCTAGTCTACATTGGGGGTACTCAGTTAAATGAGCTGTAAGAGATTTGGCTCAAACACTCAAACACTGTCTCTATCCAACGGACCCATGGCAAGGCTAGAGCATTTCATTTCGATGGCTTTTTCGCCCCCACCTCACAGCACTGAGAACGGTGTCTCGCCTCCGGGGCCCCGATGCCGACCAAATGCTGACACCCGGACCAGGGGTGTCTATTGATAGCCCCGAAAATGAGGTGATTCGGGGTGTCCAGAAAAACCACCCCAACTGCTTGTGGGTCCTGGTATGAATCTACTTATGAATCTATATGATTCGATTGGACATATATCGACCAAGCCTACCATGCCTACTCAATCGCCGATTGCCGCGTTTTGGAGAACTCACCTCCTTGTCGCGAACGCAGGCTACCAGCATCCTTGGGCTTGCAGGAGGGAACAGCACATGTCCATGAGCCATGTGTAATGCCGTGAAATATGTGAAATCGGTGGTCAGGGGTTGGCTGTCCCGTATTCTAGATGCTAAGGGATATACAGAGCTTCTACTTGTTCACGCGACCGGTCGTATTATGGTCGATGTTCACGTTCAGTTCTGACCGTGCAAAACATCGGCAGGAACACACCTTAGATCTTTGTGAAGCTTTGCTTTTCCAGAAGAGCCCGCAGATCTCAGAAGCGCTGGCCTACCTTTGCATCTTGGAGGGCTTTTTGATAGAACCTGCAGTGAGGGAAAGAGTAGCCAAGCCAAGCGAGGAGGTGATTGTGGCATATCGTGGCCATCGTTCACTCATTTGTATACTGTTGAAGTGCATGCAGGCTCAGGATGAGGTACCTTCAAAAGTGGGAAACGCTAACGGTGTTTAAGTCGGAGATGTTCTACTCTTTAATGATTTGACCTTCCTTTCTCAAAAGCCAAAATTCTCCTGCACCAGCTCCCTAACCCCTTTTCCTTCAACCTCCGCTACCAAAGAAGGTACGGATGAGTGGGAACCGCGGGCCTTTGAGCTCCTTTGTTCAGCCGAGCAGTTGAGTCCCCTCGCCTTTCACCGGCTGCTGTCGGGCTTGAGCCATCCAGATGAGAGGTGGCCTGGTTTTCGTTCCACGCGGTGTGATTTTCGTACCTGTAAAGGTCCGCATTGTATTGTTTAATATTGCTACATCATCTTAAATCAACATCCCCTTCTGGGGAAGTCTTCTTCACTTCCAGGTTCGGCCGCCAAATCCAAGGTTGCAAACGAAAGCCATCCAACGGCTGCACGCCTTGGAGTACTGACGCATGGCCGATCTGGGTCGACCGAGCACGGTGTTCGAGTTTCTTTGTTCTTTTGGGGAGCTACTAGGACAGTAGCCTCCCAGCAGAGGTTGAAGAACCCTATAGACTATAGACTATCCTATAGGTACCCCTGTAGGGTCCTATAAGGTCACTTAACCTCTGTAGGTCCTTGCTATGTTCGTAGCGATGCCCTGCGTCTTGTTACTAGTGGTATGGCCAGGAGCTACGTTCGTAGCGTCTTGCTCCTAGTAGGGGGTGGGGGCGGGTATATGTGCATATATGTGTACGTGTCAGAATATATTTAGTAATACTATGGTAGTAATGCTCTAACTATAATATAATTAAGCTATTTCCTCAAGCAGCTTTGCTGGGAGGGGTTCTCTATGCTTGCATACCAACAGTCCTGTGCCGATTTCTGGCCTGAAATGTGTCCTTTGGTTCCCTTTGTCTCCAATTTCTCATGGCCCTTCGGTTTGCTGAGAACGCCCGGATTTCGCCCTCGATGTGTTTCTCCCCCTCTTCTAGACACGAATTCCTTTGTCTCCCATGGATGGGGTGCCGGGAGCCTTGGTGATTCTGCTTTGTCCCCCTTTTTCTCCCAGGCCTCTTCGGACGTTCAAGCCGACATCCATCCACATGCCCCTCGCCCGGCGCGCGTCCACTGAGGCGACGAGACGGGAACCATGCGTCCCATGTTGTGGCGACTGCTGCAGGTGGCCCTGAGCACCGAGTGCCGGCCGCTGCTGGAGGCCTTAGCCGAGCTTTGGCGCTGCGCGACGCGCGCGACGCAGTGCGTCGCGGCGATGGCCTGGCTGGCGCAGGAGCTGGTGGCCACTCAGATGAGCAAGTTGGAAAGGCTGGGCATTGAAAGATCAAAGGGATTGAAAGGGCTCCATGTGCTCTTGGAGTTGTAGATGTTGCTCCATGTGCTCTTGGATGAGTGGGCCATGAATGGGCTTTGGGCGGTGTCGGTCAGTTTGGTGGCCAACAAGTTTGCAGCTTGTGGGATACGCAAAAATTGTCCTGAACGAACATGAATAAAAGAGGATTTTCTATAGACATTGTTTGGGGAGCAGCTTCTTCATCAAATGAACTTATGAATGCAAAGCCTGAGGGCCAGCGTTTTGTGCGATTCCGAAGTGGAGGAGCGAAGAGCATTGAAAAAAAAACACGAGCAGGTCGAGTTTCGCATATAATCAGGTTCTATTTTGGAGGTGACAGGTGACAGGACATGATAACAACTGATCCCAGAATCAATAGAAACATGCCTGCTTCCCCCTTTTCCAGAGTGTTTGTGTATATTCTCGGAACCGGTTTGTTTTATTTGGACATTTGATGGCCATGTGCATATATAGGCTGATATAGGCTGCATAGGATGCTTCAGAAATGCTCTCGACACGTGAGCACGCTGGGTTCGGAATCGATGGGTCGGTTCGCAGGCGATTGTCACAACCACCGGTCTGCTAGGAAGGGCGAGCTGGTCTGCTAGGTGAGACGGTGAACCAAGCAGCAACCCCTTGGGTCAGAACTGCCCAAGGTCAAGGTCAGAGCCGAAGTGGAACCTGGTCTTTGTTTAGGCAATGGTCCAATTCACACAATTCTTATGAAGGGCCTGTCTCTAGAAAACGCAAGAAGCACTTCCTCCAATGTTTTCTTCACTCACTCCGATCGGAAAAGGTCGAAGAGGAAGGTCGACGAAGAGGAAGGTCGACGCATGCGACGACGCCACGGGGATGGCTACGCTCTGAGGTGGGTATCAGTGACCAGGTCACCAAAGCCCTGGTGCTGCAGAGCTTCGAGAAGTTGAATGCTCCGCCACTACGAAGCGGTTAATGAGTTGTTCACTGAGCAGAGGTTTGAATGGGGAGTTTTCATGGTGCTGGTGAAGTGCATGGAAATCCACTGTTTTGCATGATAGCTTACCTGCAGAGCAGGGTCCGTTCAACTTCATCCCTGGCAAAAGGTGCAGCACTGCCCATATTTGCACATCCTTTTTGAGGTTTATTGTTCGTTGGCTTTTTGCGCATCCTTTTTGTCAGTCGAACCTGACAGCGGTGTTTTCCTCGGGGTTCCTCATATCATCCATATCCATATCACAAGTGTCATGACCGTCATCTCAAGCCGATGAACCAATCAATATCATGGGCAGCGCATCACCACACTTCAGACCCATCGATAGTACCGATAGTATCTCCAATCCATCCCAATCCTCTGGAAAAAAAGGTGTCACCGGTGCGGTCCCAGCGCACGTTGTTATATAATCCTGCGGTACATTGCATGGCTACATGTGACATGTTCAGCATGATTGACGGATGTCTTTTTAACCAGCTCTTCAGCCAGCTCTTCAGACCAATCCAGCGGTGGCACGCAAACCCTTTGCAGGCCAGCCTCCAAGACCCACTTCCTCTCCTTCGTGGCAGAGCTTCGAGCATTGACCGTGTGAAACGTGTCGGATGGGCCGATGAGGTTTGCGGTCACGCAAGGAAAAGACCCTCCTGGTGCATGCTGCTTTGCTTTTTGGAGGGGTGGCTGGGACGGGGGGTGCCATGCGGGAATCGAAGCACCAGCTGCTCTTCACATCATGAACCCAAACACCTGGACGCCCCCATCAACTAACACACCCCACCTGCTTAAGTCCCAAGTCCTGGAAGATTGTCTCAAAAGAACTTCAACATCCTGGAGATGGAACTTCCATTTCTGCTGCCCCGATCTCCTGACCGACCGCCAGGCCCTCTCGACCCACTCGCGGCGACGACCACGGCGCGAGGCGGCCGAGACGGCCGCAGAGGTGGTGGCGCAGCGGGCGGCAAGCAGGTTGGAGGACCCAGAGGAGATAGGGCGGAGGTCCTATGGACGTGTTGGGGGCATCAGATGTTCACCAAAAACACATGAAAGGTCGGCAGATCATAGGTTTTCACCTCGCAAAATACTCACTTCCCCCCTAGTAGTGAAAAAATGGACACCCAAAAGTTTGCTGCTTGCAGTAAAATATACTCGCAGTAATAAACCTCAGACCTTAGGATCATGACAGCTTTCATTGTGTTTAATTGAGCAAAATTGGCAAGCAATTCCAAGAATAGTTATTTGTGATGGTTTTGTGTAATAGTTCAATGGGAAGTATATAACATCATTTAGAGTAATGGAAAAGGGTTTTGAAGCTGATTGATTGATCAACTAACTAATTATGCTTTAAGTTTTAAGAGGGTTTAAGTAGGTTTATTGTCGTAGAGGAGTAAGTCAAGTTTTATTTAAAAAAGAAAACATTCATTGGAAAGAGCCTGTTTTCTAAATGAAAAGAAGTCAAAAAAAAAGTCAATTCCAAAAGTCAAAGTAACAAAAAAACATCAAATCATAAAATTTCAGAAAGTCAAAAAACAGTCAATTTGCCCAGATCCGACCTTTTTTGACATGTTTTTGTCCGACTTTTTTTGACTTATTTGTTCGACTGCTTTTTTTGACTTTTTTTTTTTTTCGATTTTTTTTGTTTTTGTGTTTTTGTTTTTTGACTTTTCTTGACTCCAGTAATCAGCCAAGGCAAGGAGCCACAGTTTTGACTTTTTTTGACTCTTTTTTCGATGTTTTTGACTTTTTTTCGACTTGTTTTTTGATTTTTTTTTTGCATTGTTGTTTACTTTTTCGAGCTATGGTCTATGGTTGACTTTTTTTGATTTGTTTTTTGACTTTTCAATTTGACTTTTTTTTTACTTTGACTTTTCCAGTTGACTTTTTTTTACTTTTTTTTAATCACGGATTCTGGCCTTACCATATGAAAGTTTTTTTTTATTTTAATAAGAGTCAAGTCAAGTTTATAAATTAGTTTGTAGTTGACAATGTTTAGTTTATATAGGTTTTAATAGTTTTTGTTTGATTGGGTTTGTAATTGACTGACTCGCTCTCTATGTTCAACCTACTGAACAAAGTTGTTTCTATATATTATTGCATGGTTTCGGTAGCCAGGAGGTTTTTAGGTTTCGAATTGACTCGTAGTTTACGTGATGTGATCATTATTTGCATAACAATGATACATATATCAGGGCCCCCTAAGGGGTGGTTAATGGACATCCCTCAACCTTTAAGGGGCTATTATTAGACACCAGTTTAGACACCCCTATTCTTCGGGGGCCCTGGTAGTTACTTCGGTTTGTGTTGGGGATTTGGAGGCCAAGCGCCCTCAAAAGTTGAAGACACCTGGCACCAGGCCCAATGCCACGGCTGAAGAGGTGGCACGAGAAGCGAGGCCCAGCGGTCTATGAAGCCGGAACTGAGCTCCCAATGTTGGACGACCATCGGAGGGCGGCGCAGGTTCCACGGCACCATGGTGGTCCAGATTTCTCTCCACAAGTGGAGAGGGGAATGTTTGATCATTGTGTTGACATACAGAATTGGTTAGGTTTTCATAAGGGTGATGTGGATTTGACGTGAAGATCCTGATTCTGGTCAACCACTTCAAGACGTGTTTGCAGAACAAAACCGCCTGGTTGGCCAAATCAGGTACATCATACGTCAAGGTCTGCAAAAACGCATCGAAAACACCAGCTGACCAGCTCAGTTTCCACCCAGCTGACCAGCATCCCTGCTACAAAAGCTGATCGAATTGGATCGGTCAAAACCCGAAGGATGGATGGATGAGATGTGGGATGTACTAGGGTCCTGGCCCTATAGGCCAGGCGTATCACCTAGCCAAAAGGCGTATTATTCCACTGCGTGGCCATGGGGGTTTAGCTATATATATATATATATCTCGACCACATATTTGAGTTTTAGTTGAGACAGTGGAGAACCCTTTTTTGCCATTCTTGCATGTCAGACGATGGGAAGGGGCAAATAGTGGAGACGTTGAGAAGCACCTTGTCCATTGGAACAGCCATTTGGCTGAGGACGTTGAGGCCATTTGGCTGAGTAATATGTTTTGCTCATCTCTTTCTGTTTGTTGGATCAAAGTCGCCGGCAATCCCGCGAGCGAATTTGTTCAGCCGGCAGCCCGGTTTCCTCCTGCGACCATGCCCACATAACCTGCACCTGCTAGGATAGCAAAACCCACGATGTCTCCGGGCCTTGGGACATAGGTGGAGAATGAGTTCCGTCAGCTCCAATCGCAACGGGACGGCTCAACCACTGGGGAATTCAGGACCAGATGTGGGTTTGGATGAAGAGGGGCTTTAATGTGCTTTGATCTCTGAACTCCCGGTCTTGGGAGTCCAGTTATGCTTTCCATGCACCCCTGACCCCGGCCATCCAGGGCAGCTGTGCAGGGATGTGGCCTGGAGGGCCCCGGTGCGGGTCGTATTGTGGGGGACCCAGGTACAGCGATGCGCGGTGTAGACAGCCAACTGGTGGACGGAAGGAAGACCAATTGGAAGGGACACCGTGGTCACTGTCAGGTGTTGCTTGTGTCGATGTGTTCTGCAGTGTCTTGAGTACGCTTGACTCTTGTAATTGGTGCTGTACTTCCATGGCAGCATCTAGTCTTGAGCGACTTCCGGCACCAAGGCTGGTTGCTGACCTGCCAGTAAGTTTGACCTGCATTCACCACCAAAAACCCACCACATGTAGGCGAGATTTGCTTAGATGATCTTAGATGCATCGTTTGGGAAATATATAATAAAGATTGGTTGCAATGGACTTGCACTTCCAACTGCGGACATAGCACCAGGAAAGGCGCCTGTTGAATGGTTTCCTGATCTCGGCACCATACGCAGGGTTGTTCATTGAAAAGACACTCCTATACAATCCGACTATATAGTCTACAAAATATGTTCGAACAAGTAACACTACTGACAAAATTGATACAGTGTGAAAGTTGATGAAGCCCATGATGTGTTTTCCCCGAAACAGGACCATGGTGACGATCTCTGCAAATGACACGACGTGGGATTTTTTGGAGGGTTGGGGTGGATTTGTGTTTATTTCCCAAAGGCTCATTGGACCCTCATAGCTAGGGTTTTGACCCTCACAGCCAGGGTTTTGGACCTCAAACATGTACCAGTTAGAGGGTCCATGAGCCTCTGTTTTTTTTTTTTTTAACGGTCGTGTCGTGTTGGGTGCGACGAGGCGGGCACCGCTGCCGCGCGGGCCATGGCGCATCGGATGGCGCGACTTCGACAGGCGGGGCGCCATCGATTGGGGCGGTTTTGGTTTTGGGGGGTCGGGTCACATGTGCGGTCAGATTGAAGGGTATGTCACGTGCAATTGATAGATCATGTATCCAGATGTGTCACAAGTCGTTTGGGTTTACTCAGGTTTACTGTGGGGTGTGTGAGTGCGTGTGCGCATCAGCTATACTGTATTGGTAAGCCACGTGAAAGCCTTTTTTGTTTGTTCTTTGTGGGCAGCAATAATTCACGTGAAAAATGGGTCTTGTTATGTCTTTTTGCACTTCGGTTTGGTCCTGAATTTATCCACCAGTCATGTATAGTAATACGTTATGTTTTGTATTCCTCATGCCCACATGGCGTTGCAGGCCGGGTGGCAAGAAGTTGCAGCTTCCGCAGCCCGAGTCCCAGCGGAACGCTCGCGCAGCCTGAACAAGCCCTGGGGCGGCATCCCTCCGTCAAAATAGAGAAAACATGAGCCGGAAAAGCAAGGAACCAAAACCAAAGAGCCGGCAGACAGAAAGGGGTGCGATCGATGGAGGTTTGGGGTGCCCCCGTCACATCCACTGGATGGGACTAAACGCCACTTCTTTTGCACTCCTGGAGCGAACACTTGTGCTGTGTTTGTGTGAGTGTCGAGTGGATCCAACCCTCCACGGCCACTGAGACTGCTGCTGCGCGTGCAGCACAGATGGCGCCGGACACGGGGTAGAGCAGATTTGTGAGCTGCTGGGGGGAAGATAAGATCATGGACTGGTCAATTCAGCTTGGTTTAGATTTGGAAGTTGTGTACATGCTCAGTAGGAGCCTTATGCATAGTTACACTGATATGTGCTGCCGTCGCTCCAGCAAAATCTGAAAAGAAATCTGATGGCGGTGGATCTTTTGCAGGGTCGCTCAGCACTGCAGACCAGACGGCCAAATGCACACTCTCGCAGACGTGGAAGTGAAAAACCCCCTGTTCGTAGAGCAAACTGGTTTTCCAGGAGTCCCTAACAAATCCACATACCTTCTCAGGAGGTACTTGGGCCCTCCAAGCCTACATAAAAAGTCTCCAATCACCTTGTGAGAAGGCACTTGGATCCCTAGAAAGTGAGTCAGAGTGCACAAGTTTGAAGATTTGGTCATCACAACGTTGGGTCTTCCGGCTCTTCTACGGACTCCACCAAGTCCTTTCTCCGCAGGAGGAGGTCGTACGAGTGGCGGCGCGAGCGGCGGCGGAAGAAGTGGGTAAGGCGCCCACGTATGCGGGAAGCAGAGGGTGGGGCAAGGTGGCAACCTGAGTGGCGATTGATCCGCCCTGTTCAGGAATAGGAATTTGAAGCGGAAGATGCTAAAATGGAGAGGAACTTCGCCCTGTCATTCTTTTCCTGCACATTTACGAACCGGTTTTGTGTCAAGTTTGATTCGGGGCCCACTCCATCACGACAGCCTTTTTGTATCTTTTTTCCACCCGCCCTCAGGTGGCTGCGCGCCGTGGGACAGGAGAAGAGGCGACGGGACGACCTGACGACCTGCGAAGGGTTTCTTGTTGATCGTTTGGGGATGCTTGGGGGTATGACGTTTCGTTTTTTTTAAGCAAGCCTTTGCATGACTTGCTTATGACTTGCTTGGTCTTAGTTTGCATGACTTGCTAGGTCTTAGATGGTCTGAACCCGGTAGTGTGTTTGTTTGAAGATGTTCTAAAACATCATTGGAATTGGGGTATATCATATTGCCAGGACCCAGTGGATGATGATGCTTCAGTTGCAGGCCTTTCCCAATAAGAGTGACACAGTGATAGTTTTTTTTTAACCAACTGTTACTGGTTATGGGCTACACCCCAGACATTTGTAGACATAAATACTTAGAGGTCATATGAGGTCATTAGAGCCTCACATCAAAGGCTTCGACCCTGCAGAGGCAGACCGCCGCACGCAGAGGAGCTCAGAGGAGCTCCCAGTGTGTCCTTTCAACCCTTTTTGGGACCACAGGGTTGTGCGTCGAATGCACCAGTTGACGGAAGAAAGGACGTCCAAGGGGATTGCAGAGGACACCAAGGACACGACCGCTCGCAAGGAAATGAGTTTGGACAGTTCAGTCAGCTTGAGGATGGTGAAATGGGAGGGTCGATTACTCTCCCCTGGAGCTCACATGGAAGTGGATGGCATGGCGTTTGGAAAGACCAATTTTCCCCACTGAGTTCCAGGAGAGTATATAGATCTTGGACCAGATGACACCGAGCTTCTTGAAACCAGTGGTGAAACGCCCAGAGATCAACTCGAACTGTCCAAAATATCCAGTCATCTTCAGTCCCCGAACTCACCAGCCGAGTCGCAAGGTCTAAAGAAAGAACGCTTTCCAGAGGACATGTGGAAGTTTCATTGTTCTTCAGTTTCCGCAAGATGCACTGCAAGACTTTTGCTGATTACTGTTGTGTCCTAGGCTTGATTCATGATGTTTCATCCTTGACACCTCACCATTTCTATTCTAATCCCTCAAAGTTGTCCCTCAACCCTGAGGGAACGGGAAACAGTTATGGAAACATGGTGCCAGGGAACCCCTGCCATGCCCCTCAGATCTCATCAAACATCTTGCCAAAGGTGAATTCTATACATTCCGGCCTTCCCGCGCTTCAAGGACTCCCTCCCTGCCGCTGTTTTGCTAAAACGCCCGTTCTTTGTCGGCCGTCCATAGGTTGGAGCCTTTAGTCTCCCCAGCCAGCACTGCTTCCACTCCAGCTGCCAGGTGGGCCTAGCTGTGGCTGCTGCAACACAAGCAGCTGGCGCCGCTGGTCTAAGATCGACCGAGCGCCCCGATCGACTGGTCGAGATCTGGACCTTTTGGACTGGAAGGCGACGTTCATCCAAATCAGTGGGTGCAGATTTGGTCATCCAATCAGTTGTTTCGTTCAAACACGAACTACATGAGGAGCCTAACACCCCAGTTACCTGCAAGAGATCCAGATATATGAGCTCGAGGTCTCACGCAACATGTCTTTTCTTGATGAGACCTGGTGATGTCAAAATGTTTTTTGTTCTGTTTCGTAGCCGAAGACTTCTGGGCGCTGTCCAAAGCTGAATCATCCAGTCGCTGGGTTGAGTCTCCTGGTTGGAGGGAATGATAGGGAAATATAGTGAAGAGCCCTAGAGTTGTTTGGAGGGAACGTGTTCAGTATCCTGGATGACTAGTCATGTCAATCGACCGATTTCAGCGCCTGTTGTGCCTCTTTGAGGGGACCTTCGTTCCTATGGACCCGTAGCGTGACTCTCAAGCGGTAGAGATTACACAGCTTAGCGGATCTAGAGGGTTAGTCTATGGTAGTTGGGCTGATCCTGTGTCGTTCAATCTGTTCGGATCCTTTGTGATTGAAGATCTTTGGCATACCCACTAAGTTTCATCACCCTGAAATAAGATTGTGCACAAGAGGCAATGAGTGACATTGAATGACTATGTCGCGGTTTCTCATATTTATTCATCGTTGTTTGGCGCAAGTCCCAAATCCGTAGAAGTCTGAATAGTATTAACCGTTCATATATATAAATAAATACTATTAACGGTTAGTTATATTAACGGTTAATATATTACCCGTTTCACCGTTCCCACTGCAACATGTTTCTGGCCAGAATACGATGTGCTTTCCAAGTCGACTCTCATCATCCGACCTTTGGAGTATCAATTTCTCCAATGGTCATCCTGCTGCTACAGACAGATGTCTAAGGCGTGTGCAGTAAAAAAAAAAAAATGGTCATCCAGAACGGGCAGTTGATGAATCTTCCTTAATTCGTAATTCATGCAGCAAGGTCTGCCACGGACGACTCGTCCTCGGCGTCACGGAAAGAAAGAAATGGTCATCCACAGTCATCTTTCAAGGCACCTCCTTTCGACTGACATGTCTTCATCGACTAGTCGATGCCGAACCGTAACATATAAGGCCCTACTGCAGTCGTTTTAACAGGAGATGACAAGGCACTGGATGACAGGATGACCACCTTAAAGGCCTCGTTTTTCTTTGGTGTCTTTGAGAACTGCAAGGTCTCACCTGAGCTGATCCCGGCCCGGCCCTTAGTTGCGCGGCGGAGCCGGGAACCGGGAGCGGGCCCGGTTGCGCGGCCGCTCGATGAGTTCGAGTCCCTTGCTCGTGAAACATGCCTGGCATCATGGGTTAGTTGAGCGAAAGATCACCGGTGTGTTTCGGATTTCATGGTCATCCGCGGGGCAATGGTCCACCCTGCGCCAATCCACGCCAAGTAGTGAGGTCACTAGCAGCATTTGGTATGCACGCATGCCACAGACGACATCTAGCTCAGATCAGGGCCACTATATAGTATTGCAGATAAAAAGTGACAAAGCTCTATGAACCAACCAGTGCAAGTGTAGGACATTCATGTCATGCTTTGCTGCAGCTCAGATGTCATGTGTTCTTCTACCACACAGCCAGTCTCTGAGATTCAGATCCTCAACAAAGCTCCTCCAGGTCATTGCTGGGGAAGCCATTGGCAAGGTTCTGTCGTTGCTTGTCTGAAAGGGATGGGATCAATGACGCAGGGTAGTCGCAGCAACAATCCATGGGATTTGCTGGCTGTGCTTGTGTTCCTTTTGTGTCTGGTGATTTCAGGGTAGATGGCACTGGCACCGGGTAGATCTTTTTGACGGACGGGAGTTTTGTTTGAACCACCAAACTTCATTGGACATTTGTCCCATCTACTCTGAAACCACATGAACACACTTCAAGGTGGATCAACCCCAGTTCTTCGTTGCTTTGACTATGCTTCAGCTTCAACTTGTGGAGTCAAGATCATGGCAGGATTGGGGCGCAGGCAATCCGCATGAAAGATATGAAAGCAGCCCCCCACGCGGCTCCCGCCCTACTGCTTGCAAAGAATGACCTCTGATAAGCTGCAGCTGCACCGAATCCACTCGTATATATATATATATAACTTTGATAAGGCAACCAGTAGTTCCAAGAACGAGCCCAGAACCTACTAAAAGTGGTTCCTCATATACTGGCTATGGTAGGTGAGACCAGGTGAGACCCACAGGAAGTGATTTCAGGTTAACGTGTCCCAGGAAGTGATGTAAGGGTTCTAGCAACAGACCTCCAACATCCTATTCTCCACAGGAGAAGGTCCTGAATCAATCACAGGCACCTCAATTCTAGTCATCACAGGTCCTCGCGACAAGTCCTGCGCACTGCTTGTCGTAGGACCTGCGACAAGCTCGTGAAGCCAAGTTTGCAGGATGCTGGGGGTCCCTGCGATGGGAGGGGGCGCATGGTCGACACGTGGGATGCAACAAGCGGCGTTCGCAGGGTCTTGCTTATCACTTACGCAGGACTCACGGACTCAAGCTGTGAAAACAAGGACCCACAGTGGGTGCCACTTGGCTCGTGCGGTGGTTTCTCTAAAGGCCAAGTGGTCTGATGGCGTGTGCCTTGAACGCCGTGGAGCGCGTTGAGCGGTGTTTCCCTGGAGCCGTTGTCACCCACGAAGTGTGGGTGAAATGTCTCACATCCAAGAACCGGATCAGCTGGTGATCGTTTGTAAGGAGATACTCGTGAGACGGATTGGGACATCCTATTGTTCCCTTTGGTGGATTGGGATTGATTTGGCCTTCAAAACATTCTGGAGTTTGGAGGTGTTGAATGCCTCGTGAGCCAAGATCGAGGTGATAACATGCCATGATGTGACATGATAGACCGCCCTGCTTCTGCCATCCTGCACTGCTGTGCTCCAGGTCCAGACAGAACTCATTTGCGCATGATATGCGGCTTTCTTTGGCTAGCCTGGCGAAGGCAGAGTGTGATCAAAGCTTGTCCCGTAGGGTGGACGATTCATTTACTGTAGGTCCCAACTTAAGTTAGCTCAGTCTTTAGATAGTTCAAGCGACACCCTTCACTTGTGAGGGTCATCTTGGAGAAGATTCTTGGGCGGCCAAATCGGCATCTATCCACCCAAAAGTCTTCCAGAATTGGAAGTAGGCTGCGTTTCTCAGCCCTTCCAGAATAAGAAAGCAGTAGGTCCATCAGACAATCCTGTGATTAGACGCACCTGTTGCGGCACTATTTGATGGTTTGCAAGGCACAAACAGAGAAAATGCACCCACATAGGCATAGGGAATCAAAAGCAGCCAAACAAACCCAACCCAGTACTCAACCCCTGTTGATACACAGGCAACCCGTGTGCAACCCATCTCGCCCTTTCGCCATCGTCCATGGGATTCCTGCGCCATGACGAGTATCAGCGGCTATCCCAACGACACATCCCTGGCACTGGCGTGCGACGCTGATGCGGAGGTGGAGTCCTTGGCAACGCTCCGAGGACTGTGGGGCAACATGGGTAACATGCTGTGCACTTAAGCCTTTCTGCAGCGGTGACCACCCACATTCAAGGCAAAATTTGTGTGTAAGCGCCGGAGCACCCTAGGTGAGAGTTCTGGACTCCTCACTCACTCCTCGCGTATTTCAGAATACTGTGTATGTTGCTGCATCGGTTCCACTTTGGCACCCTGCTCGCCAGGATTGGTAGGACCCCATGCTTCCCTGGACCAGTTGGAACACCAGCTGCGGCGCTTCTCCAATGACCCCAGGAAGGCAGCAAATGGTGGCTTGGTCGAACTCTATCAGAGACTGGGTATTTCAATTGGTCAATGTTTCACAACGTGCTATGACTCGCATGGCGCGATGAACCAGGCATGTTGGGCCAGGCATGGCGCCCAGATTTCTCGGCACCAGGGGTCTACGGATCGAGATTTGGGGTGATTGGTCTTGACCCATAGCCACCACGGCTATGTATTCCTTCTTGGCCATCACAAGACTGCCCACCACCCAAAATACCCAGCTGAACCCATGCGGGTGCCGAACACCGCAGGCACGGGCACTTGCATCCGAAATCATATGGTATAATCGCGTGTTGAATCCATGTCTTTGGGATGTTTTACATCAAGATTCTACATGCACCCCAGCCCAGTGGCCATTTCGGTGTTAAGCCATTCGAGGAGAATTCGTGGGGGCTGGAGGGCGCTCCTGTCAAAAGTATCATGACCTGAGTCCTCTAAGAGTCATGCATCTTGAAAGAAAAGTCATGGTGCTTGGGGCAGGATGCTTGAGGAATGATGAGCACAGGTGACCAGACACGACAGATTGCCACTGGCAAGAGTGCGCTTGAGCTTCGCAGAACTGCTGTTTTTTTTTCAGATTCCACATGGCACAGAGATAGAAACAGACTACAGCGATGAGAAATCAACACATTCCCCTTCAAACAAGAACGAGCTTTCAATCACCAAAACCACCGCCCTAACTGAGACCAATCGCAGTGGCCCTCGGCCGATGTGCCCTCCTCGGCCGATCCCACTTGAACCGCAGCGGGACGTGGGTGGCACCAGGCTACTTCCGGAGTGCCTGTGCAGAGAAGATTCCATTTGACTTTGAGCCGCGACCCCTGTGCCACGGTGCAAAGCTTTTCCTTTTTCCCCGGGAGACGGGGAGGACCTTGGAATGAAGTGGGGGGGAGTGTGTCCAATTAAAGAGCACCTGGGAGCATCCCATGGAGTTGTCTCAGAAGAGGGAGATCCCAGAAACATCAAAGATAGTGGAACACGAAACCACATTCAAAAAAGTAAAACACGACGAAGCGAAAGAAGGATGAAGAGATGTCCCATACAAGTAGCTTCGAGACACTGTGGATCAACACCCCCCCAAAACAACAATTGCAGATATTCAGGTAGGCCAAAGCAGCATGACATAGAATGATTTAATTTGGTCTTCCTCCTAATCCCCACCAACCATCTCGCCTTTGCTTTTCTAGGCGAGTGTCGTCCTCCAGCACGACGTCAGCGCTCAGCACGTCGTGTCCGCAGCAGTGCTGGTTGGATTTGGACACCTGGAATTGCTGGGGACGCATTCGCGGTCGCGGTCGTTGGAAAACACGCCGAGGTCGTTGTTTTGTTTATCAAGGAACATTACGTTTGTCGTCCTGGGTCCTGGGTCCAGAAAGAGCCAACTTGATTTTTGTTCATAACTTGCTTGCACATGGTTCTAGATCTATATATATATATATATGGTGGTTTGAGAGTAGATGGCTCAAACCCAAAGATGTCTTTTACATAATTAGGGGTCCTTCTAAAACCACCTTGTGGGATCTTTTGGGGGTTGTTTATTGCAGGAGAGGTAGCTGTTGTTTTGCTTATTGATCCCCGGGGGTCATTCCATAGTGGAGACTCGGGACTAAGTGCGGAACCACGTTCTTCCAAGAGCCGCTGGCAACGTTCTGTGACAATGGTACAGAAGTGAAGCCAATGGGCCGAGAAAAGGGACACTAAAAGGAGGGAGTGAGAGACTCGTGCCTCAACCTTTTTTCTCAATGAAGAGACACCCTTCCACATCTAAACCTCCAAAATCCGAGGTGTCGATTGTCATTGTCTCCATCCAAGGTGTTGCTGTTCCCCTGAGACACCTGTTCCACACATTCTAAGCCCCCATTGTTCCACCTTGGGATCTGCAGTGACCGGTCAGGATGCACAACTATTTCCGGCACCCTGGCCTTTTTTGTGACAGCCGCGTTCGCAGTTCGCTTTTGGTCGTTCCCGTCGCGGCTTGTGTCTTACAGGCTGACCAAAATGTAACCAAGTTCGACCAAGTTCACTTGGTTCACAGATATTGCGTCCTCGTTCCCATGGTTGTCTCTCTTGAGCGCTGGAGGTTTACGTGGTGTGTTTTTCAACCGATGACGGAGGGCTAAGAAGGGTACTTCGATGACATGGGACATGACGTTGCTAAGAAGGGAGGATCCTGACCTTCCATACACCTCCGTCTCGCCCTTGGATGTGGGGAGTGAGATGTGGGGCTAGCATTGGATGTTCTGTTTAGTACTGTTTGCATCCTGTTTGTCCATGAAATGGTCTATTACGGAGGCCCCAAGGTGAACAGGAGACGGAACGACTCCACTGGAGTGATCCGCCCCCCTTCAGTCAAATCCCAAAACCATCACGTGCGCTTCAGGCGTGGGCCAGTGAATTCTACCACTGCGCGACGGTTTTACCGGTTTTTTGGCCAAACGCAATCCATCTCGTCTCCATCTCGTCTCCATCTCGTTCGCAAGCTGCGTTCACCACACATGCGACGTCGTATGATGCCGTGTGACGCCATCAGCCTCCCTTGGAGTGCTGCGCCCACCCAAGGCCGCTTGCTACTTGCAGATCTCGGACGGCTGGAGCTTATTGACGGCCTCCCAGGAGTTGCACCAGCGCATCATCCAGGATGAAGACTTTTGGACCAAAGCCTTCCAGCTACTTGGCGAGATGAAGAAACCCAACCTTCAGCAGTTCATCCATTGACAATTGCACTAGTTAGTTGATATTGGTTGACTATTTGCTGATTCCGGGGAAGGAAAGGGGCGGGAGGTTGGTGACTTCCTACCTCCCCCCACCCGAGGCTGAACGACATGTGGTTTCTGTTTTGCATGGGCTGGGGGAAATCGAGTGCATGAGAAGGGTCCCTGAATTGCGGCTGGTTTCGTTGGCTGGTCTTGGTACTGAGTGGTTGGCTGGTCGTGGGGAGGGGCATGCAGCAGGGACAGTTGGGAGGTAGATCATCGGGAACGTGGCGCTCTCGGGGAACCATGCTGAGGGTACAGACCATTTGCAAGCCATTCTACTAGTAACAAGGACGCTACTAGGGGGAGGCCATGCTATTAGGTTGGAGGCCATCGCTACTATAGTAGCAAGAAGCTACTAGTAGCTAGAAGCTTCCTTGGGAATCGTTTCAATGGGAATCTTGTCACTTAGTAGCTATTTGCTACTAGTAGTAATGGCCTCCAACCTGGTAGCGATGGCCTCGACCTAGTAGCGTCCTTATACATACTAGTAACAATTAAGAAGCTACTAGAAAGAGATGCACAAAGAAAAACTTGATGCTCTTTGGCTCAGGGGTGATCTTTTGGGGGACGGACTCACACGATGAAGGACATTGCAGAAAGTGTTCTCAAATCAAGAACTTCAAGGCCCCCACAACGATGACAGAGGTACATGCACCCATACCATCCCAGCAACTCAGTGGCGCCCAACCGAAGCCTGTGGAGCCTTGGCGCTTTTTCATCCCAGATGGTGGTTGGCGATGTTCATCGCAGTTTCGGGCGACGTGGTCCGTGTAGAAACTGCCAGTGCCAGCTGGACGGTGGGCTGCGGCTTTCTACCACTGAACTTCCTGGTGCGTCGCTTGATCTCAGGGTCGGCGACCTGGTCAGGGTGGTTCCCAAGAACTCCGAACCATTGGGATGATCAGTTTTCTCGTGTCAGAATGGATTTCTCGTTTCATCACCCGGTTCGCCCAATCCCCCCAAAAGATCCAGGAGCATCTTCCAGGAGGTGGGGACAGTGGGAACGGGAGGTGGAGGCTGGGCGCTGGGCGGCTGGAAGTGCAGTGCACATCAGAAGGTTGATGAAATAGCACACTTTCGGATGGAACGTCTATTGGGGCATGGTGGCTCTATATTTGATGGGGAGACCTTTTTGCATATAGTCAGATGACAGATGCTTTATTTGTGATATACCTCATATCTACTCATATCCCATTCGCAGGAAAAAGGGGCAGTGATGACTTCTGAGTTGACAGCCCTGCACTGAATCTGGCTCACAGCGGATGGCAGATTTCTGGTCATGCAATTTGAGCGAAAGGGCCCTGGAGGGCCATGGGGCGGGGATGAGAGCCCACCCAGCTTCCGAAAATGCTTCAACATTTAAACTACCCTGAAGACGGGAACATTGGGATGATGGAACATATAACCTGGGTGGTTTCAGATGATCTTGGCATACTTAGGGTGCGTGCTTTTTCTCCCACGGACTCATATTCAAGTGAAGGCTCCACGCCACCAACCAGAGAAGGCTCCAGCCAGGCGACCCCTTGCAAACACGGAGGTGGCGCTAGGGACGGCGGCAGGTGCGAGGCGATGCGAGGCGATGCTGGCATCGGACGAAGGAACCCGTCCGATACGCCCAGCAAGGCGGATGGTATTCCTTCTTGGCATAGTCTTCAGAGGACCCCAGGGATGGTCAAGAATCGCAATTCCTAGGAACATCGGAGAGCTGTTTGGTATCCTTTTGGGTGCTCTAAATGATGTGCCATGCATGCCACATATGGCAGGTGCCACGCCCAGTGTGCGAGGATGGCCCCTTAGCTTAACGCAGCTGTGCTGTGTGGCTGTGCGACGGGCGGGCGGGCGGGGGGGGGGGGGGGCTGGCGGAACTCGGAGGATGGAGGAACTCGGAGGTTCTCGGAGGTTCGGAGGAAGCTCTTTTTGGGTTCCAAGCAACTTCTGGGGCTTGGTCAAGGTTTAGGCTTGGTTGGTGGCGATCTATGAGTTGCAGGTCTTTTTTGTCACAAGACCTACAGCCAATTGTGAGAATGTATAGATGGTTTTCAGGCAGAGCTCTTGCTCCTTTAGTGTTGGAGGTTGCTACCGGCGGCATGCCTACCAAGTTTGTCAATTAACCGCTTGTGTGACAACTACTCCGCAGGCAGCATAGTCGTTTTGATGGAGATGTGTAGGAGGGCGAAGTGCTATGCTAGACCAAAGTTGCTTTTCTTGGAAGCCTGCACGTGGAGCATGATGGTACGTTAATTGCCGAAAGTTTCCACATGGCCCCGAAGCCTTGTCAGCGTGTATGTTTAAAATAGACCATATATATAAATCTTATAAATATTAATCACTTCCATGCTTTTGCATTTGATTGCATTGTGTTCTTCATCGTGCAATGGTCTTGAATGGTTCAAAAGACACATTGATTTCTTCGATCATTCCGAGGGTTTGCTCCTCTCCGCCTCTTTGAGACATGGCCTCAACACCCGCACCCACCGCGTTTCTTCTACTTTTCGCACCCTGTCCACCAGTACAGGCAGACAAAACTGGTGCTTGGGGGATGTGTACTACACACTATACCCAGTTCGCTTCAGACTATGAAGCCACCGAAACCCAAACCTGTTCGCTTTCCCCTGCCCTCACCGGTCCACTTCCACCACCGACCACTTCCACCCGGCGACGCTCTCGGCCTCGCGAAAGGTGGCGCCGAAACGGCGTTCCGGTGGTTCGCTGAACGCTGGCGACTGGAGTTGGAGAAGGTCTGTCCCAAGTGCGCTTGGGCGGCACAGAACGTGGAGACGTGGAGCGGCCGTGAGGGGGAAACCACGTGGAGCCAGACTGGAGCTTCGATGCAGAGCTGTTTGGGTGCCTGTTTTGGGAGTCCTTCGCGCATGATGCAGAGCTGTTCATGTCGCTTCACCACTCCGCCCCACTCCCCAGGCGCCGCCCGCCGTGCGATCATCCCCATCGTCTATGGCTTCCCCAGCGCGCCGCTGACGGCACAGTACCGGAAGGGGTCTTTGGTGCTGACGGAGGCAGGTCTCCAGCGGAGAGAGGTGGAGGGAGGAGTAGTGAGATACATGAAGCCTCTGGTAAAGGGCCCCCTAAGGGGTGTCTAATTATAGCTCCTTAGTGGTTAAAGGATATCCATTAACCACCCCTTAGGGTGCCCTGGTATAGGTCATTGGTCATTGATTGTATATAGGGGCGTTCTGAGGGAAAGCTTCTGCACAGCCCGGGGGGGGGGCGGGCAGAAAGTGGAGGCTCCTGAAACCTCTTGGCACATCCCGCTCGTAACGGAGTGGTGGGCACGGCCAATGCTTGAGACGTGGAGTCCAGCTTAGCCTGCATGTGAAGCTCCGCGCAGGGTAGTTGTTGGGCTGTTCTTTTTGCAGTCTACAAGACTAGGGTGACTAGATGACCAGTCCATCATCATCATCATCATCACCACCATCATCATCATCATCATCATCATCATCATTATCATCATCATCATCATCATCATCATCATCATCATCATCATCATCAT